CCGAGTTGATTCCAAATCAATGGGTGTTCGACCTAAATCAACCCGATTAAAGCGAGTTTACTCTGGTTTTACAAATGTTGGGTTGCCTGATATTAAATCGATGTCAATTCCATTCGACCTAATGTCAAGCCGGTTAAAGTGAGTTCAACCCAGTGTTGACAAATTTTAAATTGTGTCGGCCTTTCAAATATTTTGGGTTTTATGCTGGGTTTTATCATCGTTCCTTGACCCAGTTAAAGCGAGTTGAACCTGGTGTTGACGAATGTTGGCTCGACAATGAGTTTTGCGCGCTTAAATCAATGATTATTCGATCCAGTTAGTGCAAGTTGAAATAAGTATTAACGAATTTTTGACCCAGAATGAGTTGTACATGTTTTGTTTTACATGCTTTTGTAATTGTCGGATTGGGTCTGTGTGACTTTTTAAAAAACTCTCTCTACTTGCCTTTGCTATCGTTTTAAACTTCCGTCATTTTGTTTTCTTTTTATTGTTAAGCGAGTTGAGCCCGGGTTTGACAACATTTTTATGGTTTTATTTTCGGGCGGCACAACGACTTTAGATCGAACCTGGTTAATGTGAGTTTACACCAGTTTTACGAATTTTGGGTTGCCAACGAGTTTTACACGCTTATCGATGGCTATTCCATTCGACCTAATGTTGAACCGGTAAAGCAAGTTGAACCTGTTGTTAACGAATTTTATCCGCCCTGGTAGGTATTTGTAAGATTGTCAGGCTACCTTCTTCTCGAGTTTATTATTGTTGTTTCAATTGCTCTTTGGGGAACTTGATTGGTATTGAATTTTTCGATTCTTTGTTCATGATGTACACTGATGATAATGATTTGTCATTTGATCTTTTATTCAGTGGTGTCTTAAAGTGGCTCTGGTGGGCGATGCTGCATTGGGAGACTTGGATTGGCATCCCTTCCAGACAATACCCCTTTTTTTTTTCTTAATGTTCACAAACTTAGATCGAACCATTGATTATAAAATATCACTATTAGTGGGAATTTTATTAGAGTTGATTATTTTTGGCAAAATACACTTGTATAGCCAAAACTTTCACGTTTGTGCCAATAATAGCCAAATTTGGAAAAATACCACTTATAGCCACTTTTTTAAGATGCAGGACAAATATAGCCATTTCCGTTAGAAACTTTAACCGTGTTAATAACACCGTCAACTTATTTGACGGTTGGCTGACTAGGCGCCAACTAAGCCAGCACGTCAGCGCCAACTAAGCAATTATTTACAAGTTAGATATTTTAATTATTTATAATTTATTAAAAATAAAAAAATTACTTATATTACCATCTGCATCGCGACTTACCTTCTTCCCCAACCCGATTCCGATTTCCTCTCCCAATTATCCCCTTCCACCTTCCGATTTCGAAATATGGTTCTTCCCCAAACTTCCTCTCCTCACGAATCCTCTTCCCCCTTCTAATCGATTCATTGATTATTGCTCTCCATTCCCCATCAATGCTCCTCCACTTCCTAATCTGTTTGGCGAATCGCGACCCTCAGGAGATTCGAGACCCTCTCCATTCCCCATCAATCCCACCCTCTGTCGGTTCGTGACTCTGGGATTTCACGATTTCTCCAGCCCAGAAGTTCAAGCGAGTTGCAGCCATGTCCAAGGGAGCATCTTCTCTTGCGTCTGCTATGGCTGGATTCAGCGTTCGCCAGAAGAAAAGAAACTTCGGAGGATTAGGCCAAAGCTCGCCGCCGGTTGGTCAACCCATCGAATGCTTGTAGTTCTTTGTTGAGGAAGGAGGGGATATGGTAAGCTCAATGAATGGAGGAAAATCGGGACTGGGGGAGGGGTAGATTGATGGTGGAGGAATGAATTGGATGGGGTACGAGGGTCATCGGCGAAACTACGTCGCCTTTGTTAGGTTGATGGTGGAGTAAAACAGGGGGTGGTTCGGAGAAGAAGAAGATAAGGCAGAGAAGGACGGGTAAATGGGTTTTTATTTTATTTTTGGTCAGTTTTTTTTAATTAATCATTATCCACTTGTATAATTACAGAGGAAAAGGAAAATAAGAGCTCGCCACGTAAGCATCTCCATTTGTCTTGTCACACTTAACTATAACACCATTAAAGAATAGGACGAAAGTGGCTATAAGTGGTATTTCGCCAAATCTGGCTATTATTGGCACAAAGGTGAAAATTTTGGCTATACAAGTGTATTTTGTGTTAATTTTATAGTGTTGTGCCTTTTTCACTCCTTCAAGAAATCAAAGCCTTTAACCAGTTTTGAATCTTTGCTTTCCATATTGTTTTTTTTTTGTAATAACTTTCCACATTATTCTAATTTAGGCTCTCAATAATTGCGTTGTCGTTCTGCCTCCTCACAAACTACAGATCTAAATTACTAAATTCACCTCCCGCTGCATAGCGCGGGCTTCCATTCTAGTAGGGGATAACGAGAGATTATGACGGTGTCGACCTTTCAGCCATTGTAGTATAACAATCACTGCTCTGACTGAATTTCGATGGGATCAGTTCCTGAGAAATTTAGCGGTGGAGAGATGTGAATATAAAAATACTCAGCGAGCATACAGTAATCCGCAAGGACTAGTGCCCAGAAAATATAACTTGTAGGAATACCGAACAGAAACAGTAGAGTAACAGAGATTAAGTGACCACCAGGTTATAAAGGCATGACCAGAAATTATGTGTACGCTTCAGTGTTACTTAGATTTATTATGGCGCCACTCAGCCGCATCAACCACCTCCACCCATGGGTATCAGAAACAGAGTTTTAAGCATAATAGAGAGTCCAACGCGCTGGCATCCCGTGGGATCAACTTACAGAGGGTAGACAGAATTCAGAACTCGTAGGATCATATGATGCATAGCAAATCGAGTTCAGATCATCCCCGGAGGTGGAGATTTGGCCTAGTTTTCAGAGTTCTTTTAGTTGAATGTTATGTTCATGGTACTTATACAGTTACGGGCCAGGACATCACTGAGGTGGCATACTAAACAATTAAATCAAATGCTACTGTTGTAGCTCAATGAATTAATTATTTAGCCTGAAGATCGATATCCTATTTAAGACCGCATAACACCTTATTTAATTCACTGTCGCTTAGATAAGTTACTATGTCACATTAAATATGTTCAGTCATTAGGGTTTCACTGTCACTAATAACCTATTTAACTACAAATCAATGTATTGGTGGCCAGTCAACACAAAGCATTAAGCAATTCCATGCAATAGAGATTGGAAGAAAAGAATTATGAATCAATCCATCAAATATAGAAATAGCTACATCCTATGGTGTTTCCCCCAGAAATTGGGGTTTAGTTCATGACGAAAATAAAACACTCAATCAAGTTTATAATCATTATCGAATCGAAGCAAAAAAGAAAAGAATACTGATATTTCTTCCCCGCTGCTCGCGATCACCGCAAAGCTTCGCTGCTTCCTATTCTCAGTTTCGCCCTACTGCTTGATCTCTCTCCGGCTTGCAATTCTGTTTTTTCCCAAATGAAGTTTCGTTCCAAAAGAATTCCCACCCCCCAATCCAATTCCTTCCCAGTCCAACTTATTCCCTGCCGCCCGAACAAGATGCTTGGGCCAAAATTTCTTATCACTAAAAGACAGTGGACTTGGTCCAAGAAAATCAAAAGAATGCCCCTGCCAAATATATTTCCATCCCCAGTTACATACATGTCCTCCCGGTCCAAATAATTTCAAGAATGGCCCTCTCTCTCTATCCGCCTTCCACTTCACTCCATGACAAGCCCAGGACAAATGACTTGGTCCAATTAATTGCTCTCAACTGTAATTACTCTCCAACACCTTTGTCACTTCATCCAATTGGGCTATGTCAAGAATCTGGTCTGAACTGGTTCGGTCATAAACTTTATCTGTGTTCGACTTGTTTGTCCACTTGTGCTTCAATCGTTTCTTGTTTCTCCACCTAAAATATTTCAAAATTCTAGCACAAGGTGGTAATGGCTTTGCAACCATTCCATAGTCAATTGACCTTAAAAAAAGTATCATATGTCTCAAACATATCATAAAATAATCATATTAAGCACATGGAATCAATATATTTTCGACAATTATCAGCTTTCCTCTCACCAAGCGCTTCTTTAACGTCGTGAGCCAGACAGTGGCTCTTCAAGTTTCGGTCCATCCAAGAACCTCCATGAAGTTGAGGTTCTCGTCGGTGAGGTGATGTCTGAAGTCACGAGAGGGCTCGTCAACTTGAGTTAGCATGACGCTCCACCCACGAGACCTCTCCTTCTTTCCTTCATCATTCTTCTCTTTGCCCCACACAAAGACTACTAGAATCCGACGTTTGCTTTGTCAGCTACATAGGGAGTTAGAGAGGGATTACTTTCGGGTTCTGACAATTAAACATGTTTGAGACTCTAAGTGGATGCAATTTGTTTGCAATTTGTGTGAATTGAAATATTTGGAGTTATGAATTTTGTTCGTTTTGAATTGTAGGGAGTTTTCCCCCTTAACCGAATCCTAGAACTATATGGTTGTACTAGTAGGTTAACATCTAAGCAAAATTGAACCACATGGAAATTATCGATTAACCACTTATTATTGTTATCAGTTAGGTTATGGGTTACAATCGATACTAGCTCATAACTTCCAATATTGTAGCGCGTGAGAAAAAAATAAACCAATAGCGGCCGACTAACCGTTTCCCTAATGGCTCTTGACTTCCTCGTGGTAGAGCGTAGGAAAAGGCGGTTGAATTCAGAAAGTTACGTGCGGGATCAAAATTTTCGCATGTTAAGCAAAACGCTGCGCTTTTCCAGCTAGAAAAATGAACAAACAGTCGAGGACGAGTAGCTCAAAATTATGGACCCACTCTTCCTGTCCCCTCCCTACCTCATGGGCCCAATTTTGTTACAGCTCCCTCCGTTAGCCCAGCCAGAGTTAACCTCCTCCTCCTTTTTCCGTCTCCAATCTATATCTTGTCACAGTTCCGTCTCCAGAATCTTAACGACAGCCCACACCTAGCGAGCAGTAGGCAAGGAAAGTCTCACTTTCATTCTTCCCCTAGCAATCTTTCTTTCTTTCTTTCTTTCTTGCCACGTTTCTCACCTTCTTGGTCTCTTTCCGATTTTGCCATTGCTGCTTCTTTTTATGACGCAATTGAACTGCTCAGTAAAGAGCAAAACTTGGGTCATCATGGGTTCGCAACATTAGAATTGGTTTGCTTTTTCTGGCGATGTATTCAATTTCTTCACCTGGGTTATTTTCTTTGGCTGCATGTTGGGTATATCTCTTTCAGGTGATTGATTCGATTCATTTATGGAGACAAATCGCAGGAGAGGCTTTGAACTCAGCGCCATCGGCGGCAGAGGAACCATGAAGAGGCCGATCCCGTGTGGTGTGATATCTGACGAGTATCATAGCTCAGATGCAGAAATCGACGGCGAAGAAGATCAAGTGTTCGATCCCCAGAAGCAACAACATTTCTCCCAACATGAGCCAGAATTGGATTCTCAAGGTTTAAGCGATTTCTGATTCTCCATCATTCCCCCATTTGCATGCCAATGCTTTCTCTGCCCATCTTGCTTACCCTTCTGACAATGTCAATCTGCGGTGTGTTTGTACAGAGATGATAGCTAAGTCTGCAGAAATGTATCAGAACTACATGTAGGAGCTTCCCATCTCGCCGCTTCAGGGTTCACTGATTCCGTGTTCTTCCTGCATGGAATTAGGGAGGTTGATGAAGCAACTCTATAGGCAGCCATTGCATTACTTCACCAACCTCATTCTCAGAAGCTGGGACGAGCTACGAATCGGCACTGAGAATCAACACCAGCCATTGGATCTCATCATCCACCCCAGTAAAGCTGAGGCAACCATCTAGCTAGTCGAAGAGGTTCATAGGAAGACCTCATCCCATCACCACATTGCTAAGCTCTGGAGTTCTGATCCCTTGCACCGACATTTCATTGACGGTCTTGTACCTGAGCTTTGCATGCCGAATTCGTGATGTGATCCTCTGGCTTCCTGCTGACATTTTGTTTCATCAACTTTTTTCTTGTTGACTTCCAACCTGTTGTACACCCTATCTCATCCTTTAGAAGCAAGTTCCATGAGTGATATTCTATCTGGTTCTACACCCTGGTTCTACACCCTGGTTCTACACCCTGGTTCTGCAGTTTTATGAAAAGCTCAATTGCTTACATGAACATGATGTCTTGTACTAAATCCCCAATCATGGTGTTCCAAGACACAAGATCAGCGTCTGGCATCTCCTAGAAGAGCTATCAAGCTGACTCTACATCTCCAAATCTAAATAAAAACCCTGAAATTAGTGAGTTCCATGACACTAAGGTCTAGTTTGGCATGCGATTAAAGAGTGCACAAGCTGCTCCTGGTTTATCACACTTCATGCACACATCGATCAGGACATTACAGATGTTATCCCCAATGCTCTAAAGCATTCCTCGAGATATAAGCATGGCAGCATCTTCCTTGCAAAAGATCGTCTATTCGTGAACAAGCTTAGATTTCTGATAGCATGGTAACCCTGTCAGGTCTTTGACCATGTTGCAGCATCTGATCTAAGACATGAGACCTTCACTTGGTGTTCCATTGCTGACATAATTTGACATCATTCAGTGCATTCATTAAAAAGCAGGTTCTAGCTAGGGTAACAGGTCTTGGGTATTCATAGTTACGGTGGAGGTGGAGGTTGAAGAGACGGGAACTAAAGACGCCGGCACAATTATGGAAGCCATTAGTTGCAGCTGATAATTTAGCAACTAGAAGCAGAGAAAGAGTAGGAGCTCCAAATTAACTGCTGCATCATTTGGCCGAACTATTAATGCTTATACTATGTTGGGATAAGCTGCATCTCGATCATACAACTATAACCAGCAATGAAGCTGCATTTCTAAGTACAAACGTGGAGGTTACAGTGTCAAAAGAAGAGAACAACTTATTAAGCAACATTTTTCTTCCTCTTCAGCCATTAGTGGCTCCTCCCAAGAACAGCAAGTCTAGCAAATTTCAGCAAGGCAAATCCCCTTTCACTTTGATCGGTCTTCGGAAAGAACCCAGCAGATTCCCATGATGGTATTTGGAGTAGTTCTGCACATTTTCCTACGTAGGACACGAAGTCCTCATCAGAAACCCCACTTAATTTCTGCCAACCATTGCTAAAAGAGACAAGATTAAAACCAAATCCAGCTCTTCATGGTGCAACTACAAAGGGAAGAAGATCACTGCTCACTTACCACCAACTACTTCTGCTCAGGGTCATAAGTCTCGCCGTTGTTCGGGTATATAACTATCGGCTTCTTGGTCACCTGCAAGCCAAATTTGTAAGGCGTTTAATCATTCCAGTCATTTTTTTATAAGGGTGATATAGGTTTCAATTTTTTGTCATTAAGGTACTACTTAAGGGATTCGAACCTGAAACTTCCAGGTTATAGACTAGTGGTATTACCATTAGACCAAACCATTGTTCGTCATTCCAGTCATTTTTCATATAGAGAAAGAGTGAGAAAGGAAGGCAATCCAATAGCTACCTTGCGGATAGAGACTACGAGGTCATGGATGAACCTAGGAGGAGTGCAGTTGGTACCAACAACAACAACTTGCTTGCAAGAGTCTGCAATGGAAGCACACTCTTTAATGGAATCTCCACTCACCACATTGACTCCGTATTTCAAAGAGAAAGAGAACCACGTTGGAGTGTTCATCATGGCTTCCTCATCCAGAAGATCTGCATACGCCTGGGCTTCCAGCTTGTTCGGGATCGTCTCCATGGCAAGCAAGTCAGCACCTGAGTTTGCAAAAATTTGTAGCCTTCTCCCGTGGAAGTCTTTCAATGCTTGGAGGGTAATTGCTTCCCCATAGTTCCCACTGCAAGAATTCAAACTGGACCATTTAAGCTCCACAATAGACGTGGGAAATGTCAACACATCTAACCCTGCCTCACCATTCGCCAACCCCGTTATCTGCCTCTATTGATAGCTCAATATGGTACTTTTACAATGTTTAAAAATCGAGTTTGACTAGTTTTAAGCAATTGACCTGTACTCAGAGCCATCAGCCAGAAAAGCTCCATAGCTCCCAAAGGAAGTTGCAATCAGAACAGGGCGCCTGGAGGGTTGCCCGCTATCAACAAACTCCCAAGAGCTTTTACTAGATTTGTCAGCAGAAATCTCCCTGGCCTCATAGGCGATCTCCACGCTCCTCTTCAAGAGATGCTCAGCTTCCTCTCTGGACAAGCCTTTTGATTTAAACCCCTGGATGGTAGCCTGTCCCCAAACAATTTTTTATTATAATAATGACATTAGTATCACCATTCAAGGTTCGGGTTAATTCCCTAAATATAGTCTTTTTTTATTATTTACCATCAATATAGTGAATTTAAAAGTATTTACAGGAATATTTTGTTTGAAGGGGGAAGGCAGCGACGGCGCCCGAGACACAGGTTTTGGCACTATTTGAAATTTTCAAAATTTTCAAGTAGCGCCGAAGTCTGAGACTCAGGCGCCGTCGCTAGCTTCCTTTTCTTTCTTATCCTCTTCCTCACCACTCCCTCTCGCCAGACACCACCACACACCCCCTGACCTCCCCTCCCTCCTCCCTCACCTCCAACCCAGCGCCGACAGCGACGACGCCAAGGGAAAGGGCGACGACGCCGAAAGGAAGAAGTCACCGCCTCAGTCTCAGGCGGTCGCGCTCACTACCCGACGAACGCGCCAAACCCAGAGTGCCGTCGCAGATCTGCTTCTCCCCGCTATGTCCGACGACGACGAGCAGCAGGCGCCCGGCAGAGGAAGGGGCAGAGGAAGGCGAGGGCGTCGTGGCGGCGGCGGCGAACACTACAGGAGCAAGTGTGGCGGTCGCCGGATTATCGCCGGCGGTGGCCGGTTTCTCGCCGGCGAGAAATGTGGCAAATTTTTTTATGTTCGAATTTTTTTCCTTCCAGTTCCTAGGCTTATGGATCCTTGTTCGATGAGTCCACCACCTACGACAATCGATACAGCTCCGGTGGATCCGGAACTTCTTTGAGGGCATGGTCACCATCGTATTGACGCAGTTTGGGCAAACGAGGTAAGTTTTCAAACTATTTCTATAGTTTTTTATTAGTTGAATAATAGAATAGAATATAATTAAATTAAATTATGAATAGAATTAAATTAAATTACGAATAGAATTAGATTAAATTACGAGTAGTATTAGAATAAGTTTAGTTTAGATATATAAATATAAATATGAGGTGAATTGAATTAATATAAGTTTTGTGCATTAATTATAGGCTGGTGATCGATCTTACTACATTCGTCATACGGGCAATTTAGTGCGATACCATCCACTTTACCTGTCGTATCTCGCCGATGTGGGTTTGTCTAGTGTTCTGCCACTAGCCCCCTCTTACCGGTGATCTGGGTTTGATTACAGCGCTGTAGAGCGTTGGCGACCCGAGACATCGACCTTCCACATGTCGTTCAGTGAGGTGACGATCACCATAGAGGACGTTGCGACACTGACCGGTCTAGCGATCGACGGTGATGCCGTGGTAGTAGACATACCAGACGAGGATTGATCGGCTATGTGTCTTCGACTGTTAAAACGGGCTCCTACTGATCTTGGTGGCGGCGTCATCCGGGCGGGCTCCTACTGATCTTGTGCATCAAACATCTGATCTTCCAGATCGAAGGTGACGACTCCACCACGTTATACTGAAAGTTGCGTTGTAGTGCATAGTGTTTAATCGCCACCTGTGCATCTTGTTTCGAGTGAAATATTTTCCCCTTGTAGAATTCTGCATCAAAACCACCAACAATAGGCCCTGGAATTACGCCATATGAATAAGCATATGATAATTCCTCGTCCTCTTCATTACCCTGCAAGTAAAAATATGGAGGATAATTAGGTTGTTCTCCTTCCTCCCCGTCGTCGTCGTCGTCCTCCTCCTCCTCCTCATCGTCTTCCTCCTCTCCGTCATCACCGTCACATAGTCATGATCGGATGGCATGCTCCATGTGTCATCTTCTTCCTCTCCACCCCGATCCTCACTGAGCTCAACATGTATCTCAACACCCAAACAATAAGGATTTTGTGCCATAAAATTCCAAAGCACATTTAAGCTATCATCATCGACAATAGGCATTGCATAATGAAATAAAACACCATTATGCCATTCTGGAAGACAGTAAGTGAAACCTGTAATCACAACACTATATTGTACTGTTTCCTCTCTACGCCGTATTCTCCGAATTAGATTATCACAAAGTTTCTGATAGTTCACCCTGGATGGAATAGTCATCTGAAAACTTACACCACCAACAAAATGGACACCCAAATTGTCCTCTACGTTCTCTGATTTCCATTGAACAGCTAGTTCAAATCTTCTAAAACCACTACATAAAAAACAAACTCACTAATTACTAACTAGACAAAATCATTATGAAGATACATTAAAAAAATAAATACGTCTCTTACCTATTATTAGCCATCTTCCCAACAACCACACAGCAACACCAGATCTTCTTTTGGAACTTCTTTCAGTTTTTTGGTGGTGAAGAACCGAAGGAAAGGTTGGAGTATATATATGGTAATGGGTGGTGCTGGAGTGGAAGAAAAAGGCAGCGACAAAGCCCTAGTCTGGGGCGCCACCGCTTTTACTTGTTTTTAAGCGACAAAGCCCCAGTCTGGGGCGCCACCGCTTTCACTTTTTTTAAAGGGCCAAAGCCCCAGTCTCGGGCGCAGCCGCTGGATTTTATTGAAAAAACAGAACCTAGCGGCCGCGCCTGAGCCTAAGGCTTTAGTGGGTTAAACATACCAAAAAACACAATATTCTTGCAAATAGTTTTTAAACCACTATATTCGTGGTAAAAAAAAATATTTAGGAAATTAACCTTCAAGGTTCAGAAATCTTCCTACAAAAAAAAAAGGTTCATAAATCTAGCAGATGAGTTCATACAAGATTTGAATCTTATATTCATTTCCTACCTGGTAAGATGCTGTCATGATTATGTTAGCTCCCGCATCAAGATAATCCAAGTGAACATGTCAGTTTCAACTCAATAAATGAATATTATGAATGAAACCATTTGACTGCATATCAACAAGTTGCAAAGAAAAATCCAAACTTCCTAATGAGTTCACATGGAGTTATTACTAAATTAAAATCTGACATATCGTTGTAAGAAATTGGATACATCCAATTCAAGGCCCAGCAAGCACTCTTCATCACTTTTTCAGAACCCATCTTCACTCCATGAACAACCTCCCCCGTCCCCTTATCAATTTTCTGCTTATCCTTCGTTTTCCTTTTACTTACTAACCAGTCAAAACTCAAAAGGAGGAAATTTGTGTACAACATTTCAACAGAACCAAAAATGGCTGACGGAGGAGGTAAACTGGTTTGCCAGAAGAACGAAGTGGGGAAACATTGAAAACTAAAAAAAATGGCAAGAAATGAAAGATAGGGCGAAATGGGCGTAGCAGCAGAGTACCCTTCTGACGAGCTGAGGGGAGCTTATGAGGCATTTGGCGCTCCAGAGTGGGTCGTTGAGGTCGGTACCAAAACGCTCGAGCTCAGTGGCGAAACTGCCGTCGACGACGGCGCAGCCGCCGCACTTGTCGACAGGCCCGACCCAGACCATGTGCTGGCCAGATCCAAAGCACAGGGCCTCAAGTTTTGGAGGCCTCATAATACATAAGCCCTAAAGCAGAGGTCCATCCATACTGGGCCTCATATAATCCCATAAGCACACACCTTTTGCTGGCGAGGCCCACATTGAGACCTCATAATCGATGAGGGAGGGCGGAGCTGGCACTTCTTGGGCTGGCAAGGCCCAATCCTTAAGCAGGCGGGAGCCACACAAAAACCACAAGAATAGGAATCGAACCATGGATCTCCTTTTCATTAAAAGGAGAATCAACCACTAAGCTAGAAGTTGTTTGATGAATGCAAGTTAACAGGTAGAGTATTTAACGTCTTTTCTTCTCTTTCCCCAAATTTTCTCAACTTCCCAAAACCATCCAACGCCTAAATATTAATTATTCGCACCTAATTCTAATTAACTCCTAATCAATGGCAATCTCTACTATCGGGGCTCCTAATGAACTTGTTTTCAAGTTCTAACCTTTTTTTCTTTAGCAGGGAACTTTATATTGATTGGAAATTTGGAATCATTAATCTTAGGTTATAATTTTTAATCATGTATAAAATATTGCACTCAACAAATTTGGATAGTAAACATTTACAATCCAAAGATATGATTATTGATGATGCCATTTTAGAAATAGATGGTCTGGTTTCATTTTTCAAAAGATATAGAGAAGATGGAAGGGCTAATACAAAATTTTATTTCAAATAATAGACGATTGTTACTTTTTGAACAATAATAGATAATATTATTAACTTTGTAATAATTTTCTGTACTTAAATTATTATTATTATTTAATAAATTTATTTTGAATAAATTTGCGAAAAAAATTTTAGGGCCACATTTTAAATTATCGAACAAGGCGTCCGGATATAATGGGACGGCCCTGCTTGTCGATGAAATCGTCCAGGATCGTCGACGGCGTGTCTCCGTTCACCTGACCCATTGTTTTGACGAACAATGAAAGATGGAAGAGGACGAAGAGGATTTCAGATTGTCGCTCTTGTTTCTTGATTCAGACGAGTTAGGGGAAATGAATCTCAGGGCTTTGCTTTTACGCTCTGCAATGGCGGTGACGAGTTTCAATCTGTGCGAGTGAGAGCTAGATTATAAAGAGAGAGAAGCCCTCAGTTATCTGGAATGGCGTATTTGCCCCACCTAGCGTAAGTGCTCATTTGCATATAGGAGCCACGTGGCGTTGGTGGGTCTGGACATCAAGACATGTCGATCTGACGTGGGATTGTAGTATGACCGAATCACGTCTTGGTTCATTTTGGGTTCATTACCAGACATCTCTCATAGTTATAGGTGTCAAAACAGAACCCGATTTGACAAAAAGTCAATGACCTGCAACCCGATTGACCCACAACTCGATTGACCTATAATCCGAATAACCCACAACCCGATTGCAACACTATCCAATTAAACCCGTAACCCGATTGATCAAAACCTGACTAACCCGTAACCCGCCCGATTGACCGAATAATTACTATATTATATAAAATTTCAAAATGAAATTTGTTAGTTGTAATAAAACTATTTTTTTTCATTTTATAAAGGAAAGTTCAAAAAATGATATTGAGTTGACATTATGTATTTTTAATAAAACAAAGAAGAGAAAGAAATAAGGGGAGTTTTTATACTTTGTTTTATAGGAAGAGAAAGAAGTTGGAAATTTGGGTGTTTTCAACTTTTTGGGGAAAAAAGAAGAGGAAAATTTGGTACTTAGATTTTTGGGTAAAGAAAGAAGAGGGAGTTTTGGTATTTTGGTTTATAGGAAGAGAAAGAAGTGAAAAATATTGGTGTTTTCAAATTTTTGGAGAAAAAAGAAAAGAAAAATTTGGTGCTTCAAGTTTTGGGGAAAAAAGAAGGGGGAATTTTGGTGCTTTGGTTTATAGGAAGAGAAAGAAGTGGAAAATTTTGATGTTTTTAACTTTTTGAGGAAAAAAAAAAAGAGAAAATTTTATTGTTTCAAGTTTTGGTGGTTTTGATTCATAGGAAGATAAAAGGGTGGAAATTTTGATGTTTTTTATTTTTGGAAAGAAAAATTAGGTAAATTTTGTACTTTCATTTTTTTAAGAGAAAGAAGAGAGAAACCATATCACAATGTTCACATATGATGGTTGATGAGTTTAATTAATTATCGAGTTGATTATCACAATGTTTACATATGATGATTTAGGAGTGTAACATTTAGTTACTAAAATATTGTTTATACTCTATAACAAACCTTACAATAACTTTTAGGCATGACTAATTTGATATAATTGATTTGAACATTCAAAGAGTTATCATATCTCAAATGCATATTAATTTACATTTATGTTGGAAACTTAATCTTACTCATTAATTCTCCTACTTCATTTTTATTTAGGTGGGAAACTTCCCCCCTCTCATTTTGATATCTTCATTCCATCTTTTCACTTCTCCAACGTTTCCCTCCCCACTTTTCGTTCTTCTCATTTTGTTTTCCCTCTACAATTTGTCTCTACCAAAATGAAATCTAACGAGAGAAAATCCCCCCCCCCCCCACCCAATTCGACTCACCAACGTTTCAATTCCTTTAATATTAAGCCCGATTTCCATTTATCATAAACGGTTGTTTATAATATTAGTGTCTTGTCTAGATTTTGCATATGTATATAAATTAGGATTATAGATTGACAACGACTTGCAAATATTTTTCATGAACCTTGATTCATATATTTTTTTTGTTAAACAAAAAGTTTACACTTCACTGAGAATTAAGCATATAATTTATTATATAATTCGTGTATTTTTTGTTACTCAATGTTGCATTGTCGCCCACTTTTCTTTTTTCTTGATATATATTGCCGCTCAACTTCTTCATTCCCGCTCCAAAAGGCCGTCCAATTTTCATTTGGATTGATCTATATTGCCACCCAATTTTCGTTTGGATAAATATATATTGCCACCCAAAAATGTTGAGATAAGAAAAAGTGTTTTTCTTCTTTTTTTTAGAGTGGTGTTTTGTTTGGTTTGCTAATAGTGTCTATTGGTTGCAAATGTTGATATCGTCATTCCTATTATCTAGTGCACTTTACCAATTATGATTAATTACATGACAAGTTTACAAATCATACAAATTGATTTAACATTTGACTAGTTTTTTTTAATTAAGTTTATATGAGGTAGAAATAATTTGGCTAAAAATTGTGAAAAATATTTTAAATTAGTTTAATAAAATGTGAAAGTTGGTAGCGAATAAGGAGTAAGTAACTCGATGCACTGTCCCGAACAACCCGTAGCCCGATCTGTACGCAACCCACCCGACCCGAAACCCGATTTGCCTGCAACCTGATTTGCCCGCAACCCGAGTGAACCCGAACCCGATGAACCCGCAACCCGACTAACCCGCAATCCGATTGAACTCAAACCAAATTAAACCCGAACCGATGAACCCGCAACCCAATGAACCTGAAATCCGAATAACCCGCAATCTGATTGAACCCGACTCGAACCCACCCGAACCCTCCGATTGACACCTATACTCATAGTTTACCTCATAGTTTCCTTTCATTTCGTTACCATCCCTATAATTATCGCTTTATCTTTCCTTTCATGTCTCTGGCGCTCCTTTATGGATGGGAAATAACAGAGCAAAAGTGAAGAAGTTTCGACCTCAGCAACAATTCAATTGTTCCCCCTGTTTTTTAGAGACTAGTTAACATTCATGTATGGTCTCATCTGTACATGGCGCTGGATCGTGCTTGGGCCGGCACAGTACGAGCACGGGCATGCTTCAAGACCATTTATTTCGTGTCGTGTTTGGCACAACTTGTTAGTTTTCGTGTCATGTCGAGAAAGCCCATTTGTTAAATTTGCTAGGCCCGGCTCAGGCCTGTGCACGGCTCAAGTCGTGCCGTGCTCGTATTCGTGTCTAATTAAAAGGAAGAAAATAAAAGAGAGAATAAAAAAGAAGGTGAAAAATTAGACGGAGAAAGATAGTATTAACCGAGAATGTTTGAGAAAAGTAACAAATAAGGGGGAAAAGAAAATTGAAAATATAGCGGGTGTGATTTGGCTTTGTTTAATTTTTCGTCCATTTTTACTTATGATAGTAATTACATATATATCTCTATGACACTTCTAACAACAACAAATAATTATTTTTCTACTTGTATTTATAATATTTGAACCTACAATTCTTTCTATATTTATTTTCTATCAAATAAATGTTATTTTTGTGTCATGTTCGTTCTTATACTCAATAAAATATCAAATATATTAGGCCCAACACGGCCCACTTATATACCGTGCTCGTGCCCGTGCCCATGAAGTTTAGGCTCGGCCCATAAATTATTCGTGCTCGTGCCAGGCTGGACCATTTATTTC